GGATCAGCCCCGATCCCTCGGCCGGGCCCGGCTCCGCCCGGGGCTGCCCCATCCCGCGGGATCCCCGCGCATCCCTGCCCGCGGCAGCGCAGCCCCGGCTCCCGGCGCAGCCTAAAAAGGAAAGGTTTGGCCCCCGCAGCCAATCCCGCCGCCGGCGGGCCCGGGATGCTCGCAGGAACGCCCGGCATCCCCCGGCCCGGCCCTCGGGGGATATTCGCGCCCGGAACCTCCGGGGATGCTGCCGAGGATGGGCAAAGGCGTGAAGAGAGGGATGGGGATGCTGGGGGGGGGGGAGAAGCATCGCTCCCTGCCCGGGGGTCCCCCCTGAACGCACGACCCCCGTTGTTACAACCAATAAATCCTCCCTGAGCCCGGCTTATGCTCGGGGCCAGCTCCTCCCGAGCCCAGCCAAGTTTGGGTGGTTTTGAGGTGTGACATCTGGCACAGCTGGGGAGGCAGGGACACACAGCAGGGCCTGGATAGTGACACTCACTGACACAGAAAGCGAGGGGACCTGGGGTGAAAATTGGGATGAAAAAGCTGGGAGAGCTCAGGGAGCAGCGCTGGGAGCTCAGTGACAGCTGGGCCCTGACATGAGGAATTCCCTGCTCCAAGGAACCCGGAAAGTTCCCTGGGAAGGTTTATCAGTCTCTGGGAAAACACAGAAATGCTGACGTGCCACCAGCTGACACCCGAGAGCTGCGGGGATGTGGAGCTGGGATAAATCCCCACGCATCTGAAGGAATTGCAGCTCTGCAAAATGGGATTTTCTGCTGTCCCCTCGCTGCTCCGGGGGAGCCCAAGGGCTGAGGATCTGCGGGATGAACGCCACGGAATTCTGCACCCCCCTCCCGAGCACGGCTTCAATTAATCAGGGCTGAAAACTCAATTAATCAGGGCTGAAAACTCAATTAATCGGGGCTGAAAACTCAATTAATCAGGGCTGAAAACTCAGTCAATCGGGGCTGAAAAGGAGTTCCCAGAGGCGCCCCAAGGCCCCTCTCTCCCCTGTTCCCAAAAGCGCCGGGGAAAAGCTGCGCTGGTCACGCAAAGGGACCGCGCCCGGCCCCGCGGAGCTCCGGGAGAGGAGGAGGAGCGGCACGGGAGGAAGATCCAGGCGGATAATCCCGACCATGTGTGGCACACACGGAGCCCGGGGTGTGCGCAGCGGGGTGGGGAGGCGGCTCCAGCCCTTCCCCTCCCTTCCCCTCCCTCGCCATGTGCCGCCCATCCCAGCCTGCCACAGCTGCTCCCACCCTGGAATGGGGCTGCTTCCCTCCCCCCCAAGGAAAATCCGGGCTTGGCACCCGACCAAAGCACCTCGGGAGGGTCCTGCACACCGGCTGAGCCCGGCTTTGGCCGGGCTGGGCTCCCCTGGGCCGGGCTGGGCTCCCCTGGGCCGGGCTGGCTGCTGCTCGGGGTGGGCACGGCCAGCAGGAGCCAGAGCTGGGAGCAGGGAGTGCTCAAAGCTGTGGGATCCCATCCTGGAGTGGGATTGGAGTGCTCAAAGCTGTGGGATCCCACCCTGGAGTGGGATTGGGGTGCTCAAAGCTG